CCACCATAGCTCAGAAAACAACACAAGCAGCTAAAATTGGATTTTTTTGACAAAGGTTTGGTTTCTTTCATGATTTCAAGGCACATTTCTGACTCTGAACGGTCAATCCGACCACATTAAAACACAATTTCACCCATCACACCGAAATGCACGAGCATATTCAGATATGCTCGTGCATTATAAAATGATTTTAAAGGGGAAAGCTGAGACCCCAAAATATAGCCCCCTCATAGAATAACCTTGTGTTTTCTGCCCTCTGCTGGATGCTTCAAGTACATACAGTATCCAAACACTGTATGTTGCTGCTGCTGCCCCCCCCCACTCCACAAGCCCCAAACACTGATTCACACACCCACACACTCATCTGCACACACTGAGAGGCGTGTACGTGTGATTAATGCTCTCCGTTTTCACATTTCTTGCTAATTAGCAGCTGCTTGTAGCTCATACCGACGGTTATTTATAAGACATTTTATATAGCCTGTGTCGATAGACGCCATAGACGCCATAATTACACGTTTAATTACTCCATGTTTGTAGTTTGTGCTGCACAGGGGCCAATTTCATGAGACAGAGTTTGTGCTTATTTTTCAATAAGCGCTCCGTCCTCACACAGTGTTAGAGAGGTGGGCTGAACTGTACCTGAAGTCAAATCTTCGCAGCTCATTCAGAGCAAATATGCAACATTTCCTTGCATATAGATGATGAAATACACACTACGATGGAACAAGCGCGTGCACCCATCAATAATGCATTCAAAGTCTTCATAGTATCGAGTGGAGATTTTAAATTATTCAATTTATTTGAAAGTCAAAAATTGACTTTAGCGCTTAAAAAGAAAAATATATAATCTTCTGCACAGCATGCGCTCATCAGAGATAAAAGCACCAACCCAGGGGTATAATAGTATAAACCAATACATGTTTTCAGATAAATACATGTCTGTAGGGTGTGTATAAACACCTCCTCTCATACAAAATGCTGTTATTGTAAGTGAAAGGGAGGCAGTTTTATTTGTATAGCACATTTTTTACTTTTTTTTTTTTACACAGTGCATACGGCAGCCACGTTTCCAACACGTTTTACTGAAAAGAGCTGTGTGTAGTTTGGTGCTATTTATAGGGACAGTGTGTTCACTTGTTACACTTTCACAGCGGGTCAGCTGAACATGCGGAAAATGGATCTACAGGCAAGAACACAACTCAACATATATGGAGGATAAAGCTTCCAAGTATAGAAGAAGAATAATTGATGTCTTAAAGGGAAAGATTATAACAATAAAAACAGTGTCCTACAAGCGAATATTGTATTGCAAAAGTGGATATTGCAGAGATAAATAACTGGATGTTTCTTCCTGAAATGCATTGTGGGACTTGTAGTTCACTCCTCCATAGTTCCTCTTTTGTACTGTTCAGTCCTTCCAGGAATCGAAGCACATTCGACCAATCCCCGCGAATTCTGCGCAATTTTGCCCAGCCACCGCAACCTTTCCTCACTGCGTTTGGGTCATTGTTAGCAATTTTTACTTTCTCTCGCAGTTTCATTGCA